CAGAATTTTTCAGTAATTCAATTTAATTAATCTTTAGTTCTATAGCGCTTTTACTATGTAGTTTGTGGTGAAGCAGCTTAACATAGAAGTTCTAAAGTGAAACTGAGTCAGTGCAGTTTTCAGAGTTGAAGTTCAGTTTAGTTCAGTTCATTGTGAGTTAATTTTCACTGCTGAAAGTGCAAACACTGAAAAGCAAATCCATCGATGTGCAGCTCAAATCCCAAGCAAGCCAGTGGCGACAGTGGCGAGCAACAAACTTCACCAATTGATGAAAGTGAAGAAAACAAAAAACTCGAGAGAAATCAGGCTCAGTTGGGCAGGACCATCTCTACTCTGGCCAAACTTGTTGTGTAGAGCCGCAGTCTAGGCGCCGGAGGCTGGAGAACGGCTGACGTCCAGAGGTTGAGTGGGTTACTGGCGGGTGGCCCAGGATCACAGGAAAGTTAATTTACTAATATACACAGGAATAGCAGGAAAGTTCGTGTTTTACATTAAAACAAGCAAACAATTATATAATGATTCACTTTTAAAGACTATATTTATGAATCAAAGAAATCGAATTAATATCTGGCCACTATGCATCAAACTGCTAGGTTTTAGAAAATTTTCAGGAAGAAGCTCGAGAAAAATCAAAAAGTGAATGATGATTCATGATGCTTGCAGATGATTTATATGTCCTTTTATTGATTTAAACGATAATAACTTTGCCAAAGAATTTGCACAATGGAACCAATGTTGATCCTACCAAATCCCAAAATCAATTTGTGTGTGTTCAAAATTTACATTCCACTAGAAAATGTCCCACCACAATGGAGTGTTAAATAAAGGCGGCAACACCAAGGCTCCAAAAATACAAATTAATTAAATTAAAAAGGCTGACACGGAGCATGTAACGATTCGAGCCACCCGGCTCTTCATCAGACATCAGACTTTTTGCGGTTTTGGCTAAGCACCCAGTTAAGAGGGATGTGCGTGCTTTTGTACAGTTTTTTCCACCATAATGGAGGAAAACCAAAAATTTTAGTCATAACAATTGGTCCAGTGGTCTGAAAATAGACTTGATGACTGGATCTGACTGAAAATATTTGGTAAATTTGGGTATTATGATTTAGGTGGTTTGTGCATTACAAGCATGCATATTATTTTACTTAATTGAATAAGTGTAGCTCAGATGATGGTTTGTTATTGTATATGAATTTTTGGTGTAAAGGGAGGATATTGATATTGCGGTGTTTATTGTATCATTAGGCTATAAATATATTCCTGTGTTCATGATGGCAGAGGCAGATCCTGGAAAATAATAAGCATGTCATTCGGCTCTTCTGATTATCCGTGCTTGTCATTTTGGTTCTGAAGTGCTTGGGCGCAAAATTGCTTGCGGATGTATTTACGTAGAGTTTCTGTTAGACATAAAATCCTTATGAGGGTGTTTTTAAGGGTGGAAAACTCCCTCAATAGCCTCTCAATTTTTTTGACAATCAGAAAGTAGGGACTGTCTGAAACATGTTAAGCTACAGTATATTATATGGACAATTGCAATCCTCAAAACCTTTCTACCCCTCAAACTGGGTGTGCATTTACTGTTTGTCATTGCCAAGTATCTGTTTTGGTCACTTTACATTTAAAAATAATAATAAAATTAATAGTTAGTAAATGTAATGCATATTTCTCTGTGCTAAGAAAATCTCAGTACTGTAGTTTAATCTCTTATAGTGTAGGTGTAGATACTGTTAATCACAATTATTCACAACTTTAAAAAGAAAATCTAACAATAAAAGTGTTTTTGGCTTTTGGTATTGTAACTTACCCACAATAAAAAGGTGAAATGATTATATGTTTAGGATTAGTAAACTTAATTTGCATCAACTCAATTTGTCAGATTTTGTATCAAACTGTCAAATTAGTCCCTTTATTATTCTGGGGTCACCACAGCGGAATGAAGCGCCAACTTATCCAGCATATGTTTTACGCAGCGGATGCCCTTCCAGGTGCAACTTATCATTGTGAAACATCCATACACACACATACACTACGGACAATTTAGCCTACCCAATTCACCTATGGCACATGTTTTTGGACTTGTTGGGGAAACCGGAGCACCCAGAGGAAACCCACGTGAACACGGTGAGAATATGCAAACTCCACACAGAAATGCCAACTAATCCAGCCAGGGCTCGAACCAGCAAACTTCTTGCTGTGAGGCTATTAATATTAATATTAATATTTTATCTTCCTAGATCTTTAAATATTTTGAATATTCGTTTTGAGTATTGTTGTGTATAAAAATAATATACAAGAGACATGAGTATTCTGGTCTGTTTTGGTCTCTTGATCGCCATCGTGTCCTGTTTTTGAATCGTTCAGACGTCTTTCTTGTTATGTTCATACTTTAACTGAAATGTATAGAGCTTGTTCGAGTGGACTGAGACTTATCTTTTTGGAAACGTTATTGTTTGGTGCACATTAACCTTCGGTTGCCAGTGTTTACACTTAAGGTGTTCACAATTATTCAATTGAGGCTCACTAAAAGGCTCTCGACAGAGTTCATTTGAATCGAACCAAACCTGCAAAGTGTGAACACACTTTTAATATAGCTCAGCCAACACCATATGCCAACCTGCCCAGAAACAAATATTTTTATAATTTGACATTTTATGTCTATTTAAAGGAATTTTTGGGAGTGAAGTCCCTTAGCTGTCCTAACCAAAAAAGTGACTATGACAAAAATCAGATGCTATATGATCAAAAACATGATGGTTTCATAAACGTATAAAGAATCATATTCATAGATCTTTAAATATACATAAAAAACAAGTTAGGAATGTATTGTTGTGTATAAATACAATAAACAAGAGTATTTTGTCCTGTTTATGGTCACATCTTTTGTGCGCCATTTTGAGCTCCTATTGGTTCGCTTAGACATCTTTCTTGTCACGTTCATGCCTAAACAGAGCTTGTTCAAGTGGACTCTTTTGGACTTTTTTTGGTGTGTGTTTTTTGTGTTTTGTGCACATTAAGCTTCGGTTGCCAGTGTTCACACTTTAGGTGTTCACAATTCTGCAAATGAGGCTCACTAAAAGTTCAGTCTTGACAGAGTTAATTTTAATCAAATCAAACCCGAGTGTGAACACACTTTTAATATAGCTTAGCTAACACCATATGCCAACTTGCCAAGAAACAAATATATTTATAACTTGAGATTTTATGTCTATTTAAATGATTTTTGGGGAGTAAAGTCTCTTATTTGTCAAAACCACAAAGCACCAATATTGTAACTATGAGGACAAAAATCAGATGCTATATGATCAAAAACATGATGGTTTTATAAACATATAAAGCATCATATTCACAGATCTTTAAATGAAGTTATGAATATATTTTCTTGAGTATTGTTGTGTATAAATATAATATACAGGAGTATTTTGTCCTGTTTATGGTCACATCTTTTGTGTGCCTTTTTGAGCTCCTATTGGTTCGCTTAGACATCTTTCTTGTCACGTTCATGCCAAAACAGAGCTTGTTCAAGTGGACTCAGACTTTGGTGTGTGTTTTGTGCACATTAAGCTTCAGTTGCCAGTGTTCACACTTTAGGTGTTCACAATTCTGCAAATGAAGCTCAGTAAAATATCAGTCTCAAGGTTAATTTAAATCAAACCAAACCTGCCAAGTGTGAACACACTTTTAATATAGCTCATCCAACACCATATACCAACTTGCCAAGAAACAAATATATTTATAACTTGACATTTTATGTCTATTTAAAGGAATTTTGGGGGGTAAAGTCCCTTATTTGTCCAAACCAAAAAAGACCAACATTGAGACTATGATGACAAAAATCAGATGGTATATGATCAAAAACATGATGGTTTCATAAACGTATAAAGCATCATATTCACAGATCTTTGAATGAACATAAAAATACCAAGTTATGAATATATTTGCTTGAGTATTGTTGTGTGTAAATATAATATACAGGAGTATTTTGTCCTGTTTATGGTCACATCTTTTGTGCGCCATTTTGAGCTCCTATTGGTTCGCTTAGACATCTTTCTTGTCACGTTCATGCCTAAACAGAGCTTGTTTAAGTGGACTCAGACTTTGGTGTGTGTTTTGTGTTTGGTGCACATTAAGCTTCAGTTGCCAGTGTTCACACTTTAGGTGTTCACAATTCTGCAAATGAAGCTCAGTAAAATATCAGTCTCAAGGTTAATTTAAATCAAACCAAACCTGCCAAGTGTGAACACACTTTTAATATAGCTCCTCCAACACCATATGCCAACTTGCCAGGAAACAAATATATTTATAACTTGACATTTTATGTCTATTTAAAGATCTGGGAAGATCTTGATTTTGAAGATTAAACCATTATTTCACTCATATTGGCATCTTATTTTCTCAAAAGTTGTTTGAAACATTAATGTTGACACTATTTGATGCTTTTTATGTTTATGAAATCATCTTGTCTTTGACCCATATACCATTGCATAATGTTGTTTGTTAAAAGTTCTACTGCAGTCAAACCCCTTTCTCTGATTTCTGGGTGTGGTCAGTTTGATAAATAAATACATAAATAATCTTAACTGCACGTATGGTCGTTTTAAACAATCCATTTAAATGTTTCAAATGCACCCAACGCTATATTTATCTTAACATATACACGCTGCAGCTCAATATCAACGCGCCACACGACACACCACACATTTGAATCTGTAATCTACCATGATACTCGCCCCGCCTTCCTCTTAGATCATGCAGCGGCCGTTTTACCACATTCAAAGTAGAAGAGCGCGCGAAAAACTGTTTGTTATCAGAGGCAGTCATTTGGAAGGGGTATTTTAAATAACACCCTTAACAAAAACAGGATATTATAAAATAGAAATAATAGCTACTATTACACAGTAAAACAAAAGTGTGTTGAACAAATGGGGTCAGTTACGCGCCATTAATTTGAAAGCTACAACATGTCAGTTACTCAAACATTCAAACAGCTGCGCTGAACGACGGTTATTGACCGTTAAGGAAAATATTCGCTTGTTGTTTGCTAATGTTTTACTATAGGTTAGGTCCGCAAGACGCTTTCATATTTAGGGCAAAATGGCGCGAGGGAAGATGTGCTTGCAGTCTATTCAGACTCCCAATGCGACTTTTTGAGGTGCACTACGGTACAGCAGACTGAGGGGTGTATACATCCACGACGTGTTTCAGGCGAGAAAGGGGTGACTGTTCGTTTCTAAGCAGTTGTTCTGGGGGGACTTCTGCATGTTTAACACTATTTTGGGAGGTGGGAAGAGGAAGAATGAAAGAGGTCTTCCAACGGAGCGGTCGTAAACATGAACGGTGCCCTGTACATTTCGTTTTTCCAAGGTCAGCTGGAGTCCGCACTGGAGCAGGTAGTGCAGCTCGCCGTTCAGGAAATCACCAAGACTGTTGGGGCCACTTTGAATTCAATGCTATTGGAAACGGCCACCAAAGAGCAGGAAAATCAGCGTTTGAGGGCGACCCTGCAGTCTCGGGAGCAAGCATACGGCGGTAACGGGAAAAGCAATGCGGCTAAAGGGAAAACAAACACGAATGATGGAACAAAGCAACACACCCCCAGTCGGAGCCCTGAATGTGGCGTTCAGTCTGAGACGCTCAGGCGTGAACAGAAAGAGCGAGCAGTTGGTAAGGTTATTTGAGTGTAAGGTGTGCTTAATATTGAATCCTGTAGGATGAATCTTTCATTGAAGCGCCCATCTTCGCGATACAGGTCTGCCTCGATGGCTTGCTGCGCAGTGACGAGGTTTCTAAAAACAAGGGTAAACACCATTTTGAACGGAAGGAGGAAGTCATAATAAACTTAGACCCATGCATTTCGGTTTCATGATTGGTGGTTCAACGCACATTTGTTTCAGAAGCATGGCACTAATGACCCTGCAGTAAACCCCGACTATGGGAAAATCCAGTTTTAGATAGTATTGGATGTTTTTTATGTGGTTGACCAGTCATCATGTTCTCAAAACCCAAATTAAGCTGTTTTTCTGATGGTCTTAGATGGTCCATCACCTTGCACCAAGTTATGACCTTAGACTTGTAAGAAAGGCATGCAGGGATTTCAGGCATTTCAGAGAAATTTAAGGCCCTTAAAAAGTCTTAAATGCTGTTTTACATTGTCTTACATTTTGTATAGTTTTGCATTATACAACTTCTAGATGTATGACAAAGTTTGCCTTAATTTAATCTGCCAATTATGTAGTGCTGTGTGTGGTTTTTAAATTATATATATTTAATTTATTTAAATTATTATATATATATATAATTAAATGCATCACTGCATTGAAGAGAAAAAAAAACTAACAAATGTTAGGAAAGAGAGAAAAATATATTTACAAAGCCTCAATCATTAAGAAAAAGATTATCATAAGCTTTAAGAAATGCATTATTCTTAATAAATTTAAGAGATTCAACGATTAATACATTTTAGCATGGAAAATATTAAGTCTAGGTATTGTCTTAGGAACTAATTTTTGTGTATAAAATGTACAATGTAACACAAAAACGTTAATAATAAGATCAAGAACATGATCAGTACCTGAAAAGTACAGAAATAAATCTTTTGTAGGCAAATTTAAGCTGTGCAGTTTATGAAATCCCTAAAATCCTGCTAGATTTGACATCACATTGCTTTGTGTACTGTTGTAACTAAGACAACACTGTTATTCCTGCTTTTCTTTAGGCACCACCTACTTTACTGTAAGTTGTCCCCAATTTTACTGGTTGAAACCTAAAGTGGCGATGAGGTCTTAAAATATATGAAAAGGGTCTTTTAAGGTATTGAATTTCACTCTCGAATTCCTGTATATACCCTGATTATACTAGTTAGTTACAATTATGAGCAGCTAATCACATTTCAGTGATTTTATTTGCAAGTATAACTAATTATTGTACTAAATTTGAGTTTGTAATTAAGCTTAATTCAATTCAGTTAATCTTTTGTATCTATAGTGCTTTTACAGTGTAGATTGTGTGAGAAATAGAGAACAATAGCCCAAAATATTTCCACTACACCAGAGGAAGTGTGCAATTTTGCATAATCGTGCTGCAGAAAAACAAGACATTGTCTCAGGCAGAATGTTATGTCTTTTGTTGAAGAGAATCATCTGATTGAAGGAAGTTTTTGATGTCTTGCCTGTGAAATGAATCTTAGTCAGCAGTATTCAGGCCTGTTGAGGCATGTATACAGAGACAGTTTGATGTTTGAGTATGGCTGACTTGTTATGACTGCAGCCAGTGGCTGGTTGGGGTGATGACGCTACTGTCGTTGAGCTGCTCCTTAGCGCTGCTTTTCATACTGCGGTGACGGTAGCCATGGGGAGGGTGCCTTTGCATTACATTTTAGCCAATGATGGTGGCTGGAGGAAGCCACACCTACCAAACCCTGCGGAGGGTATCTATGGTTGGGGTTTGAGGGGGGGGGGGAGTATCTTGGGAGCTTTCATCCTACATAAGCAGATACTGCAGCCAAATAACAAAGGAGACCAGTGATCCGCTTTACACGTCAACATGGCTTGGAAATGCATGCAAAGTCTTTCTTTTTCAGATATGAACTTCATGGTTTTGTTTAGATACACCAATAGAGTCTAAGGAATTGTATTTGCGCAGTGTTGAATGGGTTAATCTCTATTTAATCCTGCAGTGTTCTTGAAGGTAACATCTGGGCTGAAGAGTAAGGATGTCCTACTGACCTAGAGCCAGCGGGAGAGTTTCAGGTCATTTGAGACCACTGTTGCATTGCCACTGTTGATGGCTTGCAAACAAAAAAAACCTCCCCCTAATGTATCACATTCACTACAACACTAGATTTTGGGTTAACCAAATTTCCTTGAGCTCTGCTTGACCTAGTCCTTGTATGACGTGTATTCTGTGACGTCTTTCTTAAAAAACGCAAATCAGCACAACATTCAAAATTGCAACGCTGCAGTCCTGCAGATTTAACGTTTGTATTGTTTTTTATGCAGCTGAAGGGGTGGTCACACTACACCTTTTGTTCTGTTGACTTCCATTCATACACACGTGAATGCAGAAGAGTGCAATTGCAAGCTCATGTGAAAAAATTCCACATTTCGTTGCATTCCTGTGTGGTGAGCTGTGAATTGTTATCACGTGAAGCTGTGTGACCAATAGAGGATAGACACATCATTGCATGACCTTTAAGCTAGGTTAAACACATGCATTAAAAAGCATCATAGAAAAGTCAATTTTTTTATTTTTAGTTTTGCATTTAATATGAATAAAATTGAGTTATTATGTACAATTTATGTTTGTAAAAAGAACATGATGCCGTTGAACAAATTTTGCAGACTTAAAATTTGGATTACGTGCTGTCGTTTTCCCTTTAGTTTATTCATTTAATCACATTTACAGCTTCTTGCAAATTTTCTGTAGATGAACATATACTGTATATGTAAATTATATTAAATTTAACATAATTTCCTGTTAAATTTTAATTCCTTTAATTTTTCCCCCACAATTTAAGATTAGGAGAAATTATATTTTTATAATAACACATTTCTAAAAACAATAGTTTTAATAACTAATATGTAATAACTGATTTCTTTTATCTTTGCCATGATGTCAGTATATAATATTTGACTAGATATTTTTCAAGACACTTGTATTTAGCTTAAAGTGACATTTAAAGGCTTTACTATGTTAATTAGGCAAGTCATTGTATTATGATGGTTTGTTTTGTTGACAATTGAAAAATATATTACTTAAGGGGGCTAATAATATTGACCTTAAAACAGCTTTTATTCTAGCCAAAATAAAACAAATAATACTTTCTCCAGAAGAAAAAATATTATAAGAAATACTGTGAAAAAATTCCTTGGTCTGTTAAACATCATTTGGGAAATGACGAAAACTTCATAGTAGAGCAAATCATTTTGACTTCAATTATGTAGTCAATTGTAGATATTATGTAGCCATGTGCTGGTATAAGTTCTAACTTCTGACAGTTTGATAATCTTGGATAAAAATATCACAGTATTGTGATCAATGCTCTAAAATAAGTTATTTTTAAATGTCTGGGTAAAAAAAAAAGACTCATTTTTTTCTCATTTTTTCTCGTTTTATTTTAGGAAACATTTTTAATAGGGATGCTCCAAACTAGATTTTCGAAGCCGATACAGAGTACCAGTTCCTTGTCATGATGATCGGCCTAAAGTTCTTTGTCATGAAGATCGGCCTATATTGAGTACCAATTATGATGCTTTAAGCTGTATAATGCACAAAGCACGAATTCTACAGTTTTACAACCTTAAAGGGCTCCACAGACTATTAAAATAAAATGTCCTATTGTTGCACAAACGTGTGAGCATTTTAGTGACTTTTGCACATGCAACATCATATGTTGTAGATAAACCAGTAAAGATGACACTAGCATTTACAAACTAAAGAGGCATCGGCAGTCATTTGGAACTATAGTATCGCGATACTACAATAGTCCCGGTAAACCATGCAACCCTAGCTGATATCGATCTTCGGTCGATCGATTGGAGCATCCCTAATTTATAACATTTTGGCTAAATAATTCTGGTCTCTTCGTTGTTTTCACAAAATACAGATTTCTATACAACACTTTTAGAAAACACATTAAATACCCTTACTTATACCTTAGGAACGGTATTACAGAAAATGTTAGCCATTTTAAAACCTTGACTTTTCCAAACCGCGGTAAACCTTGAAACCGGTTATCGTCCCCAGTCTAATATTTCGTATAGATATTTTTGTGGTTGTACCGGTTAAAATGTTGGTCTGCCAGAAAGAAACCAATTTATTTTTTTTATTTTTTTGAGCATTGGAAATGAAATCAAATAGATTTTTAATGCACTTTTTAATGCTCGTCAATGATTCATTAATGCACATTACTCCATGAAAATAAAAGCTCCTGAAACTACTCTTTTTTTTTTTGATGGATGTGATGAAGCGCCTTTCAGCCTCTCCTCTGTATGATTCATGATCTATTCAATTGCCAGAGGACAGTCAAGTTATGCCCTACAATTCTTTTCATTGAATATCCCATTTCACTCTGCAGTTCATCATTTTACTAAAGTAAAATGGGTCATGAATGTCATTTCATGTTGTCTAGACAGTACTGCGCATTTTAAGCATTAGTGTCAGTTAGGGTGGAAAATAGCCAAGAGTTTATTAAAAAAATCTTATCACACATTTTTTATTATTAACTGCTGCAGGAATCATATATCATAATTGTTTGCAGTATGTATATCCCAATAAAACCTATATATATGCATTTGCAGATGCTTTTTTAAATATTTCCCAAATTATGTTTAACTGAGCAAGTAAGAATCAGTGTTAAAAAAAAACCTCTTTCAGTTAAACAAATATACAGGGGGCTAATAATTTTGGAGGGCTAATAATTCTGACTTCAAATGTATATGTATGTGACACTTGGTAATATAACATGCACAATTTGCTCTAAAGTAAAGCATTTGGTGGAGTTTTTAGATTTGGCTCAAAATGGGCTCCATACAGTCAGTGAGGAATGGAGTGGACTGCATGCTGTGCATTTTAAAGGCCTCGCTGCTGCAGGGAGGTACATTTTATACAAGGTACAAGATTGCGTCTAACTCAAAATTCAGACCTGCAGTACTTGCTTCCCATTTGATTTCATGCCAAAGACTGGCACAAGCTGAAGTGCTGAGGAAATTACTGAGGGATTAGCTACGATTCCTCCTCTCCCCAGATTTTGGATTCTAAACATTTAAACTTGAAGGCATTGTTTAGACATAAATAAATAAAAATTAAAAAAAGCTTTCTTCACCCTCTGGCCAGTATCTTAGGTGCATTGTTAGGTGTTGCACAGGTTCAATTATGTTTGCCTTTATTTTTTTTCAAAGTGCCTTTAGCTATGTTTCCATTCACCTATATCTATTCACATTTTGGAGTCTATATATTAGTTGAAGTCAGAGTTATTAGCCCCCTGTTTATTTTTTTCCCAACTTCTGTTCGGTAATTTGGCAAATCATTGTATAATGATGGTTTAATCTGTCGACAATCAAAAAAGAACAAAGGGGCCTAATAATATTGACCGTAAAATGTTTTTTTAAAAGTTTAAAACTGCTTTTTATTCTTGCCGAAATAAAACAAATGAGACTTTCTCCAGAAGAAAAAATATTATAGTAAATACTGTGAAAAAATCCTTAATTTGGGAACTATTTAAAGAGAAAAAAAAACACAGGAAGGAGTGCTAAGATTAAAAATACATTTTGAAAATGTGCATAAACTTGTATGAGGACAACCGAGTAAAATAAACATTTTTATCTGATAAGAAAAAGTGGACAAACTATGATGGAAACACTTTTTCTGAATGAAGTCCAGCTACACATCAAAAATTGCATGTAATTTTTGTTTTACTGATCATGTGATGACAAAAAAAAAAGACTCAACTGGATGGCATTTTGCATTGCATTATAGATGGCATTAATGTTGTTTTGGTCATTCTAAAATCTTTCAGTTAGTGTCTGTCGTCTGTTATAACCTTCCACACTGTAAAATATCTCTTGGGTGTTTCAATATTTTGGAATTCACAAGTGTTTTCCACTTATTTAAGGTTGTGTAATGATCTCTGTCGACTTTTGACGTTGAAAATTCAACTGTACAGTCTAACAAAGTAATTTTTTATTGGCATTTTAGTAGTTTGAATTAATGTATACAAAATAATATATAGAGATAGAGAAATAAGTTTGTAAAATAACAGAAAATGTACTGGCTGTTTATTACAGTTTTGTAGCGTAATATACAACTCCAGCCCTAGACAATATATCACTTTCAACTATTAATGTTAATAAAAATCACTTTTTCAAAATTTTCAATGTTAAAAATTGTTAGAAAGAACAAGGTTCCATAATGCAATTCGAAAGCATAAATAAATAGGTAAAAATAAAAACATCAATCACAAAATACAGGAAGCCGCTATTTTACGAATATTTAGAATGCACTTCGAAAAGCCACCGCTCTTTCATGGTTTCATTTTTGTCCTTCATGCACAAGTTATTTATTACATAAGAAAAATAGTTCCACAGTGGCTTCTCAAAATTTGACATTTGTAAAAATTTGACATCAATTTGTTGTTTGTCTCATTGGATATGATGCTTTATTCACAAAAACACTATTTCAGTTTTACGCATAAGTGTAATTCGCATCTTTAGAATAAAAAAAAAAACTTTTGGCTTGAATTTATTTGATCACTGAAAAATGTTGTCTGAGCTAAAAAAAAACCTTAACAGAAACTCCTTTTATTTTTTTCTGGAAATATTATTTATGTACCATGCAATAATCTATTATCATCGTAAAAAGGAACTCAATTCAATCTTCATAGTCCACAAACCCCATTTTGAAAATCGCTTATTTGATAATCATAAGTATTAAAACATTAATATTGCATTGTCACTGTGGTTCAGTGGTTAGCACTGTCGCCTCATAGCAAGTAGGTCTCTGGTTCAAGTCCCGGCTGGGCCAGTTGGCATTTCTGTGTGGAGTTTGTATGTTCTCTCTTGGTTTCCTCTAGTTTCCCCCACAGTTCAAGCACATGCACCATAGGTGAATTAAATAAATTAAATTGGCCGCAGTATATGAGTGTGAATTCATGTGAATGTGAGAGTGTATGGGTGTTTCGCAGTACTGGGTTGTGGCTGGAAGGGCATCCGCTGCGTGAAAAATGCTGGGATAATTGGCGGTTCATTCCACTGTGGCGACCCCTGATAAATAAGGGACTAAGCTGAAGGAAAATGAATGGATGAATGTTGCAATATAGGCCAGGCTTAAAATATACACTGTAACAGCAGCACCTGCTCCATCTCTCCATCAAGAGGAACACATCCATAGTGGCATTTTTCTTCGATTGCTTCACATCTTGACATAGCGTAATTGAGGCTTTAAATCTGAACTTTTCTCGCTGAAAGTAAAGAGCGAAGCAAATTGGTGTGATTCTCATAAATGTCATCCAGCCGTCTTATTTTGTGCAGTTTGCCACAGCAGTGCAGAAAAAGAGATTAGAGCTCCTCCAGGCAATAACCACCTGTTTTTGTCACAAGAAATAGACAGATGGCTTTTTTCACGGAGTAAATGTATCATAATGTTCGCTGTTTTGTCTCCATTTCAAGGTCAGTTGAAATCCGTCATGGAGCACGTGCTGGAATTCGCAGTTCGTGAGCTGACCAAAATTGTGGAGGACAGTTTCGACGACCTGCTCTTGGAGTTCACCAAGAAAGAGCGGGAAAACCACACCTTGAAAGAACAGCTACAGGACAAGAAAGTAGTGGAGGACAATAAGGCTGTTACTGTGGAAACGGAAGATCAGGATAATGACTCTGCTTCTCCGAGCAGTTCCAAAGTGGAAAAGCAAGAGTCGAAAAGCCTCCAGGACCAATCGCCCAAAAAAGAGTGGGAAAAGGAGCAGACTGAATCCACCAACGGTACAAACAGTCTTCTCTAATGTTCGATATTAAGAATGTACGTAAACTACAGTTTAAGAGTTAAAGGTCGGGAAGTTTTGAAGAGTTTTTTTTCACAGGTGCAGCATTTTAGTTAAACATGCTGTAAAATAGTAATATAGCTTCTTTTAAAAAGTGCTGGGCAATGATTATTTGCATCCAAAATAAAAGTTTGTGAAGTCTGTGAAAAAATCACACCTGAGCAATTCACGTGACTTCATTCTTCATATGAGAGGCATCTTTAAGCTGGCCTCACCAAAAAAGCCTTTTATATCAAGTATTAAATACATTTCAGTAGTTCAGCACTTTTTCCTTGTGTCATTCCATCGTTATTACACAACCACTCCATGTAATACAACCACTTATAACGTGCAAATAATCATTGCCCAGCTCAAATTTTAAATAATTACAATTTACTTGACATAATTACTTGACATAACTGCTTTCTTTTGTCATCTAAATAAATGTAATGTATTCCTGGGATGCAAAGCTGAAATTTCAGCATCATTTACTGTCACGTGATCCTTTAGAAATCATTCTAATATGCTATGTAGTAGTAATAGCAGTCATTAGTGTCACTTTTAATCAATTTAATACACCCTTGCTGAATAAAATTATTTTCACAAAGAAAAGAAAAACCTCTGGATTCAAGTTAGATAAAATTGCTCCTGATCAAATATGTCTGCTGGGAATGTTGTTATTTCATTTATTCATAAATAGCATTTGCTGTCTGCTTCTGTTTTCCCTGGCAATTACTTTTACTACTTTAAAGGGAAAAATTATTAAGTGATACATTGTTTGAACTGCTGAGTTCCAGTTAAAATTTAGTTTGAAGTTTTTTTTTTTTTTCTGTTTGTTCCACCCTGAGACTATTACGATTAGTTTTTCGACAATTAAAAAGTGTTAAAGTCTGTAAATTCTCCAAAGACTGTGACCATGTGTTTTTTTTAAAGAGTAAACCTTTCAGTCTCAACATTGTTTGTGTGGACTTTAATGAGAGTTCTACTTTGAGCCTTTATTTGTGTTTTATTTTGGTTTATTTTGTGTTTGGCTGGTCTTGCAAATACCCTCAGAACAAATATTTTATATTTTTTGTACTCCATTTGGTTGATTTATATCTACCTGGCGCCCAGATAAAAATATTCAGGGATAAAACTTCTTATTCAGTCAGTTTCTTTAAAATTGGAGTACACCAGCGCCACAACTACCTACACTAAAAGAATAATGAAAATCAAGTCGCTGTCCCAGTGGCGTTTATATAGTGTACCTCCACATCTTTCAGTCAAATTGCTTTGATTTTAAAGATTCAACTGGCTTTTTTTATATGGCTTTTTTTACCAGCAACCTAAATAGCCTCAGAATTAAGTTCATAATGTTTCTATGTTTTGATGGGATTTTAGGCTGGACATAGAGGTGTTCTCTGTTATTTGATAGTGATTCTGTGAGTTGCAGCTATCATGAGCAGTAAAAATATACACAAACATCTTTTAAATCAAATCCAATTCACTGCCAGTTTGTCTTTGACAGAAATCACTTCCGGTAGGCTTTTATGAGAAGGTGCTTGCAATTTGCGTTGGAAGCATGTATGTGCTTAAAATAGTCTAATGACAATGACTTAATTTGAATATGTGAAAGAGAAATTGCTAAGATGGGGACTTTTCAGCCTTTTAAAACAGTATGAAACTTAATTTCCACTTTTATTGGTGTGTTGTATTGGCAAGCATGGGTTTATTGTTCCACAGACGGGGGAAAAACGCTTTATTTCTTCCCATCTGTTCTTTGAGTTTCATTCAGAATTCTATTTTTAGGCTATTATGTAAAAACAAAGCAGAACTGGCCAACAATTTGTCCCAAGACTGCTAATATTAAACAGTCTTTAAGTTTTGTATTCTGTCAGATAATGCCTGGTAGACCTCTGTGCTGAAATATTCTCTTGTTTTTGAGCTATTCATTTATTTCAACTTGAAATCAATTTGCTAATATTTCAGGAGAACTAATAATTCTGACTTTAACTGTACTATTTGTTTCCATCAGAACCAGACAAGCAAACGGTCATTGCAGTGGCTCAGGACTGGGTGCCTATCCTAGATAAAGTCTTTGGGCAGAAGTGGTGCAGTGACCTCTGGCAAATCAAAGAGGTCACCACTAGTAAGGAGCAGCACACCGGCCTGAGCTCGGGCCCCATGACTGACATGGACAGTCTTATTCGGGAGACGCTCATGCCATCTTGCCTGGCCACTCAAAGGAGGCTGGAGCTTGAGGTGGGGCAGCCGCCTTGGTTGCAGGCAGACGATATGGAGGTTCTGTCTTTATCCTCTGAAGCCCAAGGCGTTCCTGTCGTCAGCTCCACAGGTAGGCTGTGCTATGTTGATGATCAAATAACGGGTCACACCAGTTTTCATGTGTTGTCACATCATAAGAATGCCCCCCTGGCGGGCAAAACATTAGTATCTCTCACGGACCGCCAAGTCACAGGCTGAGTAATTTCTCTTTTTTTCAGCCAAAATGCTGGATATTTGTTGTACAATATGGTTTAACATTAATAACCGGCAAGGAGACACACCTAATTTGTGCTTCTACAGAATTTCTTCAGAGACAGAACATCAAGAAAGGAGACATTTACGGATTTGTGCCGAATGGTAGCATCGGTGACCCAACAATAGCAATCCATGGTACCTGTCAGTTTTTTTTTTTATACACTTTCTATTCTTATTTGCAGGTCAATCAGTGCAATTAAAGAGTAAATTGAAATGCATAGTATAAATAGCAAAAGAGATTTCCCTACCATCAAATATCCATAAGAAATCGACGGCAAATATAAGAGCAGACACTTACGTGCTATAACGCCATCACCAATGACTACATCGCTGAGAAATATCCAGAAGATAACGTAAGTTATAAGAATGGGAGCTCTGACAGAGATATGAGTGTTTTAAATGACTGAAAAATGGATGTGGGTGCAGTACATGGATCTCAAGTGCCCACAATTTGCAGTTTGTGGGCATATCTCGGGTCTGTTGAAATGTGATCCAAATATTCATAGCTTAAAACAGATAGAAATATGATCAGATTGTGCTGCATTTCTGTGGAGATCCCAGTGTAGGTGCCATTACAGTCTTGGCACAGTTCACGTGACTTAAAAATTATCAATTGGGCAGGATCAGGCCGTCTGTCAGGCCAGTTTGTTTGTTGTGTTCCACATGTTACCTCTTGTTGAATTAGGGCGCACTCACACTATGCTATCCGAACCATGCCCAGGTGCCTTTACCGGATCGTTTGAGAAGTGTGAGTCCTCTGAATCGGACTGAGGTGTGGTTCAGTTGGCCGGGCCTGCCCCGGTTGAAAAAGGTGTGCCAGAGCGCGGTTCACTCGGGCTCAGGCGCAGTGCACTTGTAGTGTGAGTGCAAAGCCCATCTGAGCCAGAAACTGAAGACGAGGCGTGACTTTCAAGGGACTGTTTCATATGGATTTATGAATCATTCCTTCTGTTCAATGAACACAAACTGTCGCAGTTTACTAAAGAGGCAAACCCCTCACTGCACGACAGGTGCACCTTCAGCAAACCTCCTAATACCTGCAGAATGAATACTTTGATTATTTATATTTTATTTATTAAAAGTGGCCAATCTTTTCGGCGAAATATTTGAATGCATAATAAATGACTAAAATGATATAACTAAAGAAATCTCCACTGTGCTGAGCGAGAACGCTTCTCTTATGTTAAACTGAACAGCGTAGCATCAATGACGTAAGCGTGCTCGGGCTCAGATGCAATGTGAGTGCCGGCCGTCAGGTGGAGAAGGGAAGGGGGACAAGCGTGCTTTGGCAAGGTTCAAGGCAACTGTACATAGTGTAAGCACGCCCCTAGTGTCACAACTTGGCCTGATTAAGCACGTGTCAGACATTGGCAAAAGAGTACTTTAATTGGTTGTTTGGCATCGAATCAGAGCGTGAGATCAAAAACGTGTGAAGTGATGTAACCAAATAAACCGTTCAAGTCAAGGGGAAACGCAAAGAAACAATTGTATTGTAGTTTTGATGCTTTTGTCAAATATTTGCAACCGGTCAATCTACGTTCATACTCTCACCTATGGTCATGAGCTTTGTGTCATGACTGAAAGGACAAGATTTTGGATATACGAGGCAAAAATGAGTTTCATTCGCAGGGTGGCAGGGTGCACCCTCATAGATAGGGTGAGGAGCTCTGTCACCCGGGAGGAGTGCTCCTCCACATCGAGAGAAGTCTGCTGAGGTGAGTCGGGCATCTGTTTCGGATGCCTCCTAGACGCCTACCTAGGAAGATATTCCAGTCATGTCCCATCGGCAGAAGGCCAAGGGAAGACTCAGGACACGCTGATGGGACTATATCTCTCAGCTGGCCTGGGAACACCTCTGGATCTCCCTGGGGGAGCTGGAGTAAGTATCTGGGGAGAGGAAAGTCTAGGGTTCTCTCCTAAGACTGCTGCCCCTGCGACCCGGCCCCATGAAAGCGGATGAAAATGAATGATTTGCACAAGCAAATCTTTTCGTGATGAGTGACAAGTACTGTAAAAGTGGTACTGAACACTTTTTTGTAAGTGTGCATCACTAGTTCTAGTTTTCCTTTGTGGAATTTTGGTCGGCTGCCTTCTGTTTCATATGTTCACACACAGCTTTTTGGTCCTGATGCAGCTGATCTTGCACATTAGCTTGTTGTGTCCTAGGCTTAATACATCTAAAATTTGAACGCATATCAATGTTTCCTTCTTTTTTTTTTTTTTTTTTGCATAGGTGATGACTCTCAAATCAGATCCCCTTCAATGTTGCAAAGACTCCTGACACTCCCTTCCCAGTTGCTTGAGGATGACGATGAGTCAATGGATGCTGCTCCAAGTGTAGAAGCGTCCACGGAACCAGCCGATTCACAAAGCAGCAAAGGCCCAAAGAGTAACCAGAAGAGAAAGGAAGAAGAGAATGAAGATGAGGAGGACGACGAAGATGACGACGAGGCCACGAACAGATGCGAGTCCTCGAAACACAAAGGTAGGAGGAAATCCCATGCTTGCAAAGAGTGCGGGCGAAAGTTCAGTCGAGCACATCTTCTCAGAGCTCACCGGCAAACACATGAGGAGACGCCTAACCAGTGCCCACAATGCGGAAAGAGCTTCTCCCAGTCATCGAGACTCCAGGCTCACTTACGAACGCACACGGACAAAATCATGTAATCGGGGAATTTAGGAAATGAATTGAAAAAGGGAATGTTTGTTGTAATTTGGTCGAGACGGTAAATTTCATTTCAAGTTCTGCTAAAGAAAATGCAAAGCTTGTAGCCTTTTTTTGTTAGTTTGAAGGTACTCTGAGGATCTTCAGATGCTTTTTACCTTCATTTCAGTTCCCTAATTTTAGGGATTCAAATATCAACTGAAGAAACAACAAATGTCAGTAACGACAAGCTGTGTACGCATTGTAAATATCAAAGTAGGGCTGTACAGATCATCAGAATAAGAATCGAAGACTTTTTTTCATTAAGTGTGATTTTTCTTTTTCGTAACACAAGGTTTCAAAGACCTGTGTAAATATTTCAAACATAATATGAAGCTGTTGTGTAACAGAAGAGGAGCGCAGTTGTTACGTCTCTTGTAGCATGCTGGTGTTGTTTTTTCGTTTAACAAAGTTTTGAATGTGATCGAACAAACCAGAGTTAGTGTAACGCGTCTCCTGCGATCAAATCGACCATCTTTTTTGACTTTGAACTCAACATGAAATACCTCTTACGTTTTGATGTCATACTGGATTTTTTGGATATTTTTCATCAACCTGTCACAATGGATGGAAGATGGCGTACAGATTTTTAAAATGCACAATAGTCAACATTGCATGACGTGCACAACCAAGGAGCAGTTTGCAAGCAGGATGAAGAGAAAAGTTCATTTGAAAGAGACTTCAAGTTCCTAATCCTTCACCATATTCACAAAGAGGATCTGACTTTTCTGGTATCCTCGACTAGAGTAGCGTCTTCCTGTACTGATTACGTGTAGTGTTTGCTCTACATCTTGAACTTGGAGTAATGCTCAGTTGTTGATATGTTGTTTTTTTCCAGTGTCAATGGCATATATCTGAATATGGAGTCTTCCATATGGAAGTAGTTACCATTTCTAAAATGGCGGATGGTCCCTATATGTACACCTTATATCGACGGGAACGGTAACAGCGGATTCCCACTTGTTATGCACATTCCCGATCTCGACCCTGAAGTTTTTACAATATCCCTGCCAGTAATAAGCATGATGGGGAAAAAGTACAAGATGTTGCTCTCACTTTTTGGATCAATACCTCATCGGTGGGATCATATCTTTTGGGACTTCTGCAATATTAGAAGTTAAGATCCGAATCAAAAAAGTTTACAAAATGGAACGGGACCGGCTTTTGGCCTACACATTATTTGACTGTGCATTTAAAAATGTGGCTTATTTTTTTTTTCGTTTTATGCTATCTTTTGTCCCCATAGGAAGGTACCAAGAACTTGCAACCCAAAGATTACAATGAAGGGAAACCTTTTTTCGACCACATGTACTTTTTTATTATTATTATTATTACTATTATGGGCCATTACATGTTACATCATGACTCTTAAGCTTTTTTTGTACTGAGTATCTTCATTAGTAGATTATAATGAAGTATGTCATCTTTTGCTAGTGCCTAGATTTAACCGTTCTATAAGCCGATTAGCTCATAGTTTAGCACCCTACCTTTTGTTTGGATACTAATTACTTTATACTTGTGCTTAGTGCTCAGTTCTAGATTTTCTTTAACTGCGTAGTCAGTGATGATTTCCTTGTAATTACAAATGTTAATAAAAAAAATAAAAAAAACGTATAGATGAGCATAGAAACGACAGCCAAAAAAATTTAACAAATGTTTTCTTTCGTGGCCAGAATGACATTGAGTAAATGACAACTGGTTAGATTAGTAAAGTCTAAATTACTCTAGAGTTGTTGGAACTCAACAGGGACTGGTTATATTAGTTAAGCCCAAAGTATTCTTCTGTTTTTTTACGCGTACGTGAGGTAGATTTATAAATCCCAATAGCTGTGTTTTCATTGTTACTCCTCAAATTGCATTAAAACTTGGACGACACTTCATCTTTTAACCATAATAACTGTAATAATAATAACGGCTAGTTCTGTAGCTTTGAAATACATAAAAAAAAATCCATCATTATGACTTAAGACGAGAGAAAATAAACTAAAATGTTTTAGTTTTGTGTAAATATGGTATATGCACACAGACTTTTAATTTCAACCTGCCAGCCTCAGGGCTTCTGGTCAACTGCCATTCCATTATACAATTGCCATGTTTAAGGTTTGATTTCTTTAAAAGTCATTGATCTTCACTGCCTGATAGATATATGATATAAAGTGGGCCTCAGACTGGACAAGAAACACTGCATTAAAATCCATCTCCCCCTGGCATGTCTTTAAAATATTTTACCCCAATATTTTCAAGAGTTTCTGCTCTCGTCTGCTGATTTTGATTAGTCTCTTTCTTCTCGTTTTACACTTGAACAACTAAATGAATGCTTAAGTCTATTAAACTGAATGTATTGTAATTATATTATTACAAGATTGATGCTGTAAAAGGAGCCTTATGAAATTAAAAATAGTCAGAATAAACTTTCACTGAAAGTTTATCATTGGCTGAATAACACTATCTGTGCATAGAGCCCATAGATAACGTAAACAAAGCTCTAGAAGAAGCTGTTTACACTTTTTATCTTAAAAGCAAGTACACTTTTTTTGTTATGGTTATGCCTGGGTAGCCAGTTAAGTTTCAGTTTGATCACTCTTTGTTGTCATGGAGCAGCTGAGCTTTCTTGATGGTAGCTAAAGTCCAGAATTGGTGCAAACTGAACTGAAACTTAACTGGCTAGCCAGCTAATCTGCCGTCATGGTACAGACCCTTGCTGTTCACACTACTCCGGCATCTTCGACCCATGAAAATGGAGCATTTTGAAAATGCAGAAGACTCCATTTTAGTTTCGAAATGACGGCGATCATTTCAGTATAGATGCAAACTTTTGATAATCGAAGTTTGGCTATCCACAGTCACTCACTGACTGGTATTCTGGACTTGCGTATCATTCCCTGATTGATCAGGTGCTTTTAATATGATCGTTACAAAAGCAGTTCAGTTTTGACACCTTTCGGGTCAAATTAAGTGAAAAACTAATTGCTTATGTGCTGTATGGATAGAAAAATCCTACTGGAGGCTCACCATACTGTGCTTGGGGCAATTTGCATCACACACACACTGTATGCATACCCTAACGCATTGTTTCCTAACCACATTCCTGGAGGACCACCGCCACTGCAACTTTTGGATGTCTCTTATGTCAGGTCTTTCCGACTCTGCTAATGAGCTGAAGATCTGAATCAGGTGTGTTTGGTTTAGAACTTTAGAACTTTGGTTCGAAATCGCCTACTACTCAGTAGGTACTGCATTTGAATTTAAATGTATTACTCGACCCTTTAAAAATGTACGTTCTGTACAGTATAAATGTGAGTAGGTTGAATGACCGCCGATGTACTACATCCATCATTTTGTCATAATTAAGTAACCTACCCCCCGTCAACTGAGTCGCTCCCATTCATGAATTCTCTTGCGACGCATCATGGGATAGCTAAGCATCCATCAGATTCACACTTCAGAATCTCGCCGGAAGTAGTAGGTCATCTGTGTACTTCTCACATATCGTTTTTAAATTCTATGAAATCGGACATACTACTTTGCTCGCATACTATTTTTAGCGTACTATATAGTATGGAAGTATGCAATTTCAGACGCAGCCTGGAAAATTTTGTCCTCCTCCAGGAATGTGGTTGAGAAACACTGCCCAGACATGCATATAAAAACCGAAATATACTTTGGGCTTGAGGGCATTTTCACACCTGTAGATTCTTTGCTTTGTTCCAAAGTAGATTTACTTGGATCATTTTCTCAAGGCGACATGTCTATATAGGCCAACATTAGGCAATAAAGTCACATGCGAGTAAACTTCCTTGCCTTTGGTCATAGAGACTCATCTGAACTAAAGGAAGTAAAGATCTGCAGATTTATGGTGGTTTTCTTTGCTTTTTTTTTTTTTTTTTAAATGTGGTTTAAGTAGTTCTAAAATATTAGTCCGGCCAAATTTCACATGGTCTTTTTAAACTTTAGGATAATGCATGAGTTATTCTGATAGATATTAGCAAAACTAGTTGCAGTTAATATACATAACCCATCATAAATCAGGATAGAGCATGGGTGGTTAGGTTTTATGGTTTTCTCACCACTCCATAGATTGGATTCAAGTAGGGCAAGTGACCACGGAGCAATTGTTTGGTGCAGATCTGAACACGATTGCCTTCTTTTATGCCTAAACAAACAAGCTTTTTAAAATGCACCAGGAAATGCTCTAAAAGAACAAGGTGTAGAGTTTGGTGTGTTGGCATGTACACTACCTGACAAAAGTCTTGTCGTCAATCCCAGTTGTAAGAGCAACAAATAATAATAACTTGACTTCTGAACCGCATCCCAATCATTACGAATACTACAGAAGACCTACTGGAACTAGCATGGACCCGAGATTCTCACAGAAATCAGTCAAGTTTGGTGAAGGAAAAAAATCATGGTTTGGGGTTACATTCAGTATGGGGTGTGCGAGAGATCTGCAGAGTGGATGGCAACATCAACAACCTGAGGCATCAAGACATTTGTGCTGACCATTACATGACAAACCACAGCAGAGGGCGAAATCTTCAGCAGGATAGCGCTCCTTCTCACACTTCAGCCTCCACATCAAAGTTCCTAAAAGCAAAGAAGGTCAACGTGCTCCAGGACTCACCAGCCCAGTCACCAGACATGAACATTATTGATCATATCTGGGGTAAGACGACAGAGGAATTGAAGATAAATCCAAAAAAGCTTGACGAACTCTGGAAGTCCTGCAAGATTGATTTGATTTTGAACTAAATGATCGACAAGAAGTTAAGTTATTATTTGTTGTTCCTAAAACTTGGATAGGCGACACAACTTTTGTCAGGTAGTGTATTCTAAGTCACAATAAGCAATTTAAATGAGTATTGAAGGACTTGAATTTTGCCTTTGACAGCCCCTTGTAGGCTCATCTATTTAAGAGCACCGATTAAAGTAAATTAGCATGCGAATCCATTTTGGGGCGTAGCTATTTATTCAGTTAGTATTGGCGAATGTGTGGTGTGGTTTCTTGTAAAAACGACATTGCAACTCTGTGCTGTATGTAGTGCCTGAAATTGTGTGTGCATTTGCGTCTGCAGTCGGTCATGATGGAACTTAACTGACTGGTGTTGATATCAGAAATTCATTGTTTTTTTTTATGAAGCAAAGCAAACAGAAGCCAAACAATCTGTAAAATGAGTTTGTGATGCAGTCCTTCATTCACCCACAGATCTGCATAATTCCTACAAACTTACTTGAAAATGTAGATGTTTTTAATGTTATGCATGATGATGACTTTTATCCTTTTTTTTTATAAATCTATTTGTGTATTGAAAATAACACTAGCTCTTATACCAGACCAATTGGATCATCTCTTTTTCCATGGATCATGGTCAGTAGTTTTAAGTTACTGCATAGTCGCTTTGAATTGATCTTAAGAGTTCAGCATTTGACCGGTAAATGCTTAGTATTAATTTTCTTTTCCCATTTGATTTTTCTCTTCAGTATATATTTTGCACTGTTACTCCAAACATCCATACCTCAGTTTTGTCGGTTGTCTGAAAGCATTACTTTGAAATCAGATGGGTTTTTTTGTTTTATCAGTTCATTATCTCAGGACTTGTTCATGTGATTTTAGCATATTTGGGTTTACATTCAGCAATTTTTGTCTAAATTTACAGGTCTAAATTAAAAAAGGGGGGATTGTCAAACTGATATGTGTGACTTTTCGAAAGTGCACAGCTAATTATGAACCACGTACATGGGAATTAAATGCTAAATCTTGTCAGTGTTGCACAACATTTCGGTCAGTGATGGTTACAAAAGGGAAGTTGTGTATATTTGTATTTTTGATTGGATGATTTTGTGAATGCCTGTTTTTTGAAACAACATTTGATTTCAATTTTTTCCCCCCCAAAAAAGGTGATTTTTTTTTTTTTAATCACTGAAATGTCTTTTAATGTGACTGGAAGTAGTTGTACATTTGAATTATGGCAATACATTAAAAGGTGGGAAAATGCAACTGTTACATTGTTCATTTTTATTTTAATTATTGAAACGGTCTGCTACATTAGGATTGGTCGTTTGTCTATATCTTTTCAATTCAATTCAAGATATAATTTGTTTATTGTCATGTGCACAGTAAGGAAACCCGTTTCCCTGTGCAATGAAATTCTTACTTTTCCGTCCACAGTGAAGTCATACACACAACATACACATCATACAGGACATACACACACACACACATATATATATATATATATATATATATATATATATATATATATATATATATATATATAAACAAGTATACATACAAACAAGTGACAGAAGTATAATTATGAAATGTAAATATATAAATATCTATGAATGTAAACAATATAGAATACTGATTGTAGATTATTAATGAAAACATATGTAAACAGCGTATTGTGGTTCTTAAAATTGTGCGTATGCAAAAAGTGCCTATATATGCAGTGTATTTCTGAGCTGGACAATAGCAAGAATCTTTAAGGAATAGTTTTCCTAAAAGATTGCTTCACATTTCAGGGCTCATTTTACAACTCCCCTAGAGTAAACAGTCGAGTTTTACTATTTCTGAATCCATTCAACCAATCTCCATGTCTGGCGGGAGCACTTTTAGCTTAGCTTAGCATAAGTCATCGAATCGGATTGGACCCTTAGCATCTCACTCAAATAATTCAAAGTTTTTCTGATAATTTTCCTATAAAAAGCTTGACTCTTCTGAAGTTACATTGTGTGCTAAGACCAATGGTCTATGAAAAGTTGTTTTCTAATCAGAAAAATACTTTGAATGAGAGTAAAGTTGCTTGCCATATCGACTTTAAAATCAGTAGAGTCCAGATTTAAACAGGAAAACTATTGAAACTTTTAAAAAAATTGTGAGATGCTAATGTCTAATGTCTAATTCGATTAAATGATTTATGCTAAGCTAAAAGTGCTTCTGTTAGACCCCGAGATCAGCTGAATGGATTCAAAAACGGTTTCAAGCTATTTTAGGCTTTACTCTTTTGTTGGTACATTGTGTGCTCAGACCACTGGTCTATGAAAAGAAGGTGTTTTCTAATTTGTTAATTCGCCTGTTGTTTCCATGGTGCAGAAAAACTCCTTGAAAGAGAGTAATGTTCCTTGTCATAACGACTTTAAACATAGCAACTTTTCATTTTTTTGTCTGTTTCAGTTTCATTTTTTGGCTCAGTACATGATTTAACAACAGTAGAGTGCAGATTTCAATTAAAATACTTTTGAAACGTTTTTTTTTTATTATTATTATTGTGAGATGCTAATGGTCTAATCCGATTCAATGATTTATGCTAAGCTAAGCTAAAAGTGCTTCTGTCAGACCCGGAGGTCAACTG